TATTCCCAATTTCTTGAGTCTGGTAGTCCTTTCAAACACTTCTTCTTTGCAACTTTCTGGTGAAACAGTATGCAAAGTCAGCAGATTTTCACCTATTAAAGCCTCTTCCTTGCTCCTTTGGTTTTTGTTATCTGGACAGGGCAAAAGAGTAGACGCATTTGTATGCAAATGCCTTAACTGTGGCATCTTCCATATATCTGCTTTGATTTCAAGGGTGCGTGATGTTGTATTGACTATAAGAGTTTGCATGTTACACATGGTAGACATTGCCGGAGGGAGGACTGAGATGTTAGAAGAAAAAGCAACATACTTTAAAAGAACCAAATGGCATAGATCAGGAGGAAAACGGGTGAAGGTGAGAGATTGAACCTCCAACACTCTAAGCAACTTAAAGGTTTTGGGAATTGCAGAGACATGTTTTGGTTCCACAGTAGTTTCTTCTTTGGCAAAAGTCAAGAAAGACCGGACACACTTACCAGAAGGTGTGGGCCGTGAAATGTAGTCCAAAACATTGACATGATTGATGCAAAGCCGACGATATTGATCCAAAGCTGGGTGTTCAGATAAAAAGAACGCAAGTTTATCCTTTTTTATTTCTTGGAAGAAATTTTCTTCTGTAGCTTCATTCTTGCAAAACTCACGCAAAGTGTCATGGATGCGACAAGTTTTAATTCGGTCATTTGACCTTCTTTGTCCAACCATCACTAAGTTTCTCGCAACAAGTTCCTCCAAGTGTTGCTCTGCTATGTCTTCCAAGTTGATATCACCTTCCTGTAGTATGAGTCCTTCAGCAATCCAAAGTCGCAACAACTTCCAAACAGGGATCTCAAAGTCTTCCCGGAAGACACCAAGGTAAATGAAACATGGCTTCAAGTGATTTGGTAAGTGCTTGTACATTAGTTCTATTACCTTAGTGGTTTGCTCTTGATCCCTTGCAATGTAATCCTTGACACTATCTGCCACATGTTTCCACCAATCAATTCTCTCTTTGTTGTTCCAAAGAATACCTGCAATGACAACCACTGCAAGTGGTAATCCATCACATTTATTTGCTATTTCTATCTCATACTCCTGCAGCTCCTTTGGGCACTTGTCATCATCAAAGACCTTCCAGCGAAGTAGCTCCCGACTCTTTTCTAGAGGTAAAAAGTCCAACTTATGGAAAGGGATACCCCGACTTGCATGTTCAGCAACTCTCTCATAGCGAGTAGTTATTAGAACTCTGCACCGCTTGTTATTGCTTGGAAAAGCTTTTTTGAGTCTATCCCAATCCTCTTTCTCCCAGACATCATCCATCACAACTAAATACTGCTTTCCCTCCAACTGCTTGCGGAGATATTCTTCTAATTGATCTTCTACCATCTTATTCACCTCATCGTTGATTTGTGTAAAAGATCTTAAAATACTGAGGAACACTTCCCTTTTCTCGTATTCTTTTGAAACGTAAACAAATGCCTTGATCATAAATTCATAATCAACAATTGGATCCTTAACAACCTTTTTAGCTAACGTTGTCTTGCCCAGTCCAAGCATACCAACAATTGAGATTACTTCAAGATGTTGTGATCCACCGGTGAGAAGTTTGCTTACTTTTTCCGTTGCCTCCTCAAAACCAACCACATGCTCTTCCTCTACTTTTGGTGCCTGGTTGCAGTATACAAGGTAAGAATATGCATAAGATAGTTTGAAAGAAATGACTAAAATCAGAGACATAAATATGTTGATCCGAAAACAGAATCGACTCCTAAAGCCATATTTGATTCATAGCAACAAGGGAATTAATTACTGGTACATATGTCCTAATTGAGATGGCTCAATATTCCTTACTAGCGTCATTTGGTACATAACTTGCATACCCGAATGTTGATATTAATTAAAGACTAAATGGATATAATTCATATGCAACAAACAATTAGGGATTAAATTGACAAGATTTCCTGAGTTGATTAAAAATGTCGAACTTTAGTAATGTTTCAGCACCATCCACAAAATGTACAAACAAATAAGCAGACAGATAGAAAAGTATTTTCTAAACAAAAGATGGAAAGCAGGAGTTTGGCTTGTCTATTTTTACCTCTTTAGGCTTTGGAATCCTGTTAAGATTGGCCATGGCTTGATACTGCAGGGCCTCAAAGCCATTCCTGGCCTTTTCTTGATTAATCTCCCTCACTTTCTTGCCAACTTCTTCAATCTGTTTCCCCACTTCCCGAAGCTTGGTGGGATAATCAATTATGTGAAAAGTTTTAGATATCCAGGATCTTGCTCTTTGAACCGAGGCTTGAACGATATAAGTGTCCACAGCATCTTCAGCTTGGTTGACTACGGTTTTTATTTCCTTCACCAATTCCTTGAGAAAATCGCTGTCGTGATTGTATCTCGAGTAATCTCTCATCAGAGCTTTCAGAGTCTCGAGTTCTTGGCAAAGAATCAGAATGTTATCTCGTACATCGGCGATCAAATGATAGTTGTAACTCAGTACCTGGTGAAGGTTGTCTAGCAGAAAAGTCACTGCAGCATCTGGAACAGACATCTCTAACTCAGATCTGTTTCTCTCCTAGGAAGCTACTAGGACTAACTGAGTCGAGGATCAGGATTGAATTGAACTGAACTGATATCAAGATTCCAGAGAAGACTTGGCAGATAGCAGGTGGAGTTGACTTGACTCAGCTACACAGCAACGAAAATGGTAGGTACAAATTATGCTACAGCTACTACTACTACCACCACTGCTTTTCCTGTTCTGGGGACAGAGATGGAGAAATTATGAACTTAAAGCAAGTGGCAGACAGCAAATGCAAATGTAGCAGGATAAAGCAAGAAGATAAAAGAGTTAACAGCCGGGACGAAGATGCTTAGAAAACAGTTTTTTACTCTCCACGATTCAGTATGGTTGTATTCACTATGGACGGCTAAATAAATAACGTTGCATACTTGCAAATGTATTTTTTTTTTGTAACAGGAAAAAAGCATATTGTACTTTACCGGTTGATACTTCTTTCGCCTCTTCCGAGTCTTCCCCACGTTAAAGATAAGGGATAATTTGAGAAACCTCCCCTAAATTTTCTGACAATCTCACTGGATTCCCTTGAGGTTTGGAAAATTACACTTACATCCCTTAATTTAATAGTTTTAGTAACAAAACCTTAAATAATATTGACTTGGTCAATTTTTTAAATGAATACCCAAAAATGTCCTTATATAATGAGTTTTAATTTATTTTCCTATACATTTATAAGATTATCTAGTATAATTATAAGAAAAAATTGTCAAATTTTTCATGTCCATACCTATTATTCGATAAATAATTATAATAAAAATTTTATCACTATGATATGATACTTTTGATAATACTTTATTATAGATTTAGGTTTATAAGATAGAAAAGAAAATGTTGAAATAATTCATATAGAATTTATGAATTTTTCGAATAGTGGGATTATCATAATTTAGTAGTGATTTTGGGTCATATCTTTTTGATTTATTGTTAATTTTAGTACCAAAAAATAGAAAATAAAGATAAGGAAAAATATTGGATTGCATATAAAATTAACTCATCAAAAAAATTACTAGTTCGACATTTGGTTACAATAGAAACTAGAAGCAATAGTGATAGTTTTATAGTTTTATTGGAGAAAAACAAAAAAAAAAAAAGAATAAGAAGGAAAAAAAATGAAAAAATAATTTCAAAACTCATTCTAAGTATAAGCATATCAAATAAGGGAATTTCACCAAAATATTTAAGGGTAAAATTGTCATTATAAATAACAAGAGAGGTATGTGTAATTTTTGGAACCTCAAGGGAGCTTAGTGAAATTGTTAGAAACATGAGGGAAGGATTCTAAAATTATCCCTAAAGATAAAGAAGCCTTTTTTTTTTAAAAAAAAAAAAATAATAAAGAAAGCCATCGTACCAGCAGCAACCGCGTTACCATCCGTGTAGAACCGTAGATGTTGCCATCTGAGATAGAATCCCATTTAGCTATTCGGAAATTTCTGTTGAAGACTTGAAGTACCAATCTCAAATAGTCATGCAAGCTTAATATTCATAATTCAATCGGATTGACCCAAAATACAATTTAATCTTCATTCTCTATAAACAACATTTTTATTCGGTAACTTCCATTACAGTTTCCCTCCTGCCAGTAGCCTAGTCATTGTACAATACTTTCTTCAGCCCAACCAGAATATTGCCCGTGTGAAGTGATCTCCCCCGGTCTTTCAAGCAAGGAATCAGGTTTCCACTCTTCCATCTTTTTGGCCAAGTAATCTGCTTTTTTTCTTTTCTTTCCTTATTCTTGGATTTTGATGACGTTTTGATCAAGACAAAGAAGAAACAAGCACATAATTCTAATGACGTCCTATTATTTTGCATTTCTCTTTTTCATTTTTTTTTTTTGGGGGTAGCAATTATTTTTTCATTTCTTTATTTTGTTGTGGACTAGTGCTTTGTCTGGTCAGCATTACGAGGGATCCAACCGCAGTAGATGATAGACAATAAATTGTTTATGTGGAAGGAAGACCATTCACTATTCTTAAAAAATTGTAATGTTGCAATACGTGACGGATGGCATCTATGGCGTATTATCTTGAGATTATTGAGCGAATCCCTTCCAGTTCCAGCCAATTAATGATACATGCGAAGAAAAAACTGCTGACTCCACATCTACATTATCCCTGTGCCTATGCATGTGGAATTTTCCATGCTTTCTTCCTCTAATTATAAGTATGTAACCGTGTTTCCAATATTTACAAGTACAAACAAAGAATTATCTGACCCCGCATTCACATTTCAGTCATTTTAACATCTATAGATTTTGTTGAATAATGACTAGTAAGCATGTTTGATCATATGTGAATGCTTCTGCATCTGTCAAGTGGTACGTGATTGTGAAAGATCAGGTATTTATTGTACGTAAACTAGTAGACTGTGATTCTTTTAAAAGCTAGATTAATTACTCTATCATGTAGAAGGTCTTCGTGGAGGCTAGAAATGAAGCTCATGTAAAAAAAAAACTTCATTGTCTTGGTGATTCCCATTTTACAAGATTAACAGGACAACACTCTACGGGGAAATGATCAGATGACTCTCCTATAAGGAAACAAGTTAACTCATTTAAATTCCAAGATTGCATATTTTTTACACAAATGTATTATAATTAACTAGTTTAATGACAACATAGAAGAATTCTCAAGCACCGGTGGAAACTTAATCCTCTCTATATGTAACTCTTTCTTGCCCGCGAGTGTGTTCAATTTACTCTATATTAGGAATAACACCTTCTACAGCTTCCATGGCATTACCTTCTTCGTTTCCATTCTCTTGCTTATCATTTGAAGTAGGTTCCCTGTAAGGGTACCTTAATGCTGCCACAAGAAACCAGAAGAAATTTGCAGCACTTAGGACAGCAAGGACCCAGTAATAGCGATCCAAGCGACTCTTGTTTAAGGTATATTGAAACCAATTCTCTTTTCCTCTTCGTTCACTAATTCTACCAACTAAGAATACTGATAAAACACTTCCCGTGATTCCCAGCCCAGATAATCCAGGGTTGAAGTAGACGAGGTACTTTTTCATTGACGGAGGACTCTGATCACTCAAGAAAGGAGCAGCACTGTTTTCATAAAATGAGTCAAGGACAGCAAGAAGAATGTATTGTGGAAGTAGCCAAAACACAGTCATGGGAATTTTCTCATCTGGTTTGTCAAGTAATCCATGATCTCTGAGCACATGTAACCTTCGAGTTTCAACTAAGGCAGCAACTATGCAGCATAGTACTGAAAATAGTGTAGCAAATGCAATGCCAACTGGGGGTGCATACCTCTTTAGTCCTGCTGCTCCTAAGTGGCTTGCAATGAAGGTGTACATTGTTTTGGATCGTGACTTGGTTAGTTCATATAGGACCAGAAGGATGGAATTAGGAAACTTCAATTTTCCAACCTTGAAATTCATGTGGTTTCCTTGCTCCACGAAGTAGGTGCTTCCTATAGAAGTTACGACACCACAAATTATGAAGGTGATCCAAATTGGAAGCATGTTAACAATGATTTTTGTTTCTTCTACTTCTGTAACTGTGCAGACTCTCCACTTGTTTGTCACTGGTTCTTCTTTGATGGCAGCCTTGTCCAAGAACCTAAGAGAATAACAATCAATAAATTTTACAAATCAGTGCTTCATCATCTCTATGCTCTGATGGTCTCTTTACCTGGAGAACTTGAGATTAGTTTGTTCTATCCATATGCAATAAAAGATCAATTGTAGACAATTAATTTACTTAAAGAAGTCGTAGAAGTATTTCCTGCAACTGGAGATGGAGTTTCTAGTCAAAAACTTTTTCGCAAGTATGAATTTTGAAGTTGTATAAGGATAAATTTCTCAAACAGAAAAAAGTTTGTATGAAGAAGATCATATTAAGAGGGGATATATGCCAAACCTGAGTCCTTCAGTATGACTCAATTTTTTATCATCATGCTCGTTTTTTTCATAAAGTTTGGAACTGTCAGTTGGAAGTTTGTGAAACATTTTCAGAGTAGAGGCCACAAGAACTCTGAGTACATTTGTTACTGGACTTCCTTTCGGTTTGTTGTCATTGTATGAGCCCAACAAGAATGCCATTGTTGCTACCAAGGTACAAATTGCTGGAATTCCAAACCGAAGTGACCATGGTCTTATGTATGGAAGAGCAATTAGTCCAATAACAGGGAAGAGGATCACAAGACAAGCTCGGAATACTTTTACTTTTTCTCTGTTCACAAGAGCCAGCATTGCTTCTACTGGTTGAAATTGAAGCTGTGACAACATATCATCTTCAGCATCATCACCCTGCTTCTTTGCATTCGGATTGTTTGGGACTTTTGGTGGTGGGAATGGGTAATTTGGTCCATCACTTGTAGCTCCACCTCGTTTCCTTCTAATCTGATGCAATACAAATGGCTTGGACTGATGTCTTGGTTTCTCAAATTTAACATCAGCTTTCTTCTTTTCAAACTGATCAACAAAGAGTGCAACTAGTGATACAATGTGTCCGCTTATTCCAACAGCAATCAATGCTAAAGCTGTATAGAAAAGGGCCTTTTGCGTGTGACCAATGCATTCAGGCTTGTAGTGTTTACAGCTCCCAGTTTCCTTGGCTAGAACTGGTGGTGTTGACATAGACAAAAATCCCAAACCCTACACATGATTATAGATGAAAGAAAGTTCAAATCCAGATAGCAAAAAATCTCTGTGTTTTGCTTAGGTTGCAACTAGAAATTTATTTACAGCTGATATGTTCTCTAGGTGCATTAGCCTTTAACATGAAACTATCCAATTTAGTTGAGCTCTGGGACAGCATTTGAACAAGTACTTGGTTCTAGTGGTAAGATCAAGAAGTCTGCAAATTATCGCCTGTTGCTTTGACATAATATCCTGTTCTAGTGTTTGCTACCTTCCACCTAGTTCATTAATTTGTCAATTGTCATCAACTAGCTCAGTTTGTCTTCTTTACTTTAGAACTTCGATCAACGAATTCAGTAGCAAAAAGTTAATTGTCAAAGAGGCAGTTGGATCCTTTTAAGCCTCACCTATTTAGAAACGGTCATAGACCTGTATAGTCACATCTTTACAGAATCTTTACTATCTCTAGTTAACTGAGAGAAGCAAAATATTTCCCAAGCGAGATGGAGTATACAAAATCTTTTGCAACAATTTTACTGAATTATCAATGTCATCTTTCTGTATCAAAGAGTTTTAACTTTCAACTAACGAGAAACCTCATCCTGGCATATTCTAGACCTTTTCCACTTGGTACTTAACGTGTTTGTGCTTACAACTGCTACTCATTTCTTGCAACTCCAATAGTTTAGTAAAATCAGATGTTCAATAGCTTCATCAAATGATGACAGTTGATGCTGGAACCTGGAAATGGGGCTAGTATCATGGTTATTCGAGTCTCAGACAATCAAACAACTGTTTTGTCCCATCTCCTAACAATATAAATTTGCACACTGTGAAATCAAACTAAAGAAGTGTTTGACAGCAGAACTTACAATTGCATAGGATACGCTTGAGAGAAGCAGCATCCAGTAGTTACCAAGGCCACAGTCCACAATCAAGAAAAAGACGAGGGGTAAAACTTTAGCGAGGCCATTGGCTACGTTCATGATTCCAGCAGCACGAGTAAATCCCAGTTTCCAAACATTTGTCAAGTATGTTGGCATTATCCACATTACATATGCTGCCAACATATCAGCCCATAACAAAACTGCCATCAAACAAAGCAGTATGTAAACCTTTAGTAATTGGGCTAAATGATACATATGGCAGAATGATCAGAGATGTTAAATAGTTACCCACTACTCTTAGAAATGCCATCTTTTTTTCTTGAAGCTTGTTATGCTTTGTCTTCTGCAAGAAAATATGGTCAAAGAAAATGCATCACTGCATTAGGACTAACAAACTGAGAAAGCTCAGAAGTACTACATCTCAACTAGAGTCCAAAGTCTGCACTTAACTTTTAGTTATCAATATTTAGCTTCTGGGCATTATTGAATTAAACTGAGATTAGAGGTTGGAATTAGTTACTTACCTTCAGATGATGTATGTTTGTGGCTTGAGCAGGAGAGACAAGGGACAGTGAGAAGTAAGGACCCCTCCAAGAAAGATTTTTTCTTTGTGACAGGAAAAGGCAATAATTTTGCAATTCGGATTCTTTGATGGCGGATGGCTTTACCACAATTATTCCATTGCCAACTCAGATGCATAATAAATGTAGAAAAGGACTTGGGAACCACCAGCTGGTGGCCACCATTAAGCCTTTAAGGCTTGGCGGGGTGGGAGAAAAGTTTTGGGACAAGGGTTTAAATTTTACCTCCCACTAATTATCACATTAAAATGTGAATTTGCTTCAAAAAATTCAGACGAGTGCGTAGTACACCCGTTTGATTCGGTGGTGGTTCAGTCCCCTCCGAGTTATTCTTGGATCTCCTTAAGTCCACTCCCTCCCCTTAGTATAAGATAGATTAGAATATATTACAGTTACCGTCTTCGAAAAAAAAAAGGACTTGGGGGATGGTTCTATCAATTATTCTACTTCTAACATATTGATATATTCTTTACAGATTGAGATTGTAGATTGGAACATATCTGGAGGGAAGGGAATAGGTGTGCGGATCACTTAGCTAAATTGGAAAGAAGTCTAGACTATGGCTTGACAATGTTTGGGGATCCATTGCAGACAGTTAAAGAACTCCTGGGCCAGGGCGTGTGTGGAGTGGCTTTCCCTCGTTTTATCAACATGTAATGAGCCAATGGCTCTCCTTAGCACAAAAAAAAAAAAAAACACATTGATATATTTTTTACAATTGTGCAAATAATGTTCGATAACAAGACATATATGTTACATATCAAAAAAAAAAAAAAAAGAAGACCACACTTGTTATAGATTGTGTTGAGATCACAAGTTTCATATATTATCAGATTGTATTGCAGTAGAAGCATTGAGAACTTACTTTCATACGTAAATTTAGATTTATTTCAAATAAGTCATCCAACTTGGAATTAGGACAAATTTGTTATGGCATATATACCTTAGAAAGAAATTTAAAACCAAGGCTGCTCCTCCATTTTGGCATTCTATAATACTTTTCTTTATGCAGCAAAAAGCCAGGGAACATTTTTAAAGCAATTGGCCCCTTTAAACTGGCCTTCTTTTGTCCCACATACCTGGTAACTCAGGAAAGATGGGCATTTTTTTTTTTTTTTTGTTGCATTATTTTACTCTATTAGACATTGTCAGGTCAGCAATGTGAAGCGAATAAAGTTGAATCATGAATGTGAAACAGATTTAATTCACCCTTCATTATCTATCCACAGTTTTCCATGCCAAGAATTTCTCTGTCTACATGAAATCTTCAAGGAAATGGAGCATTTTTTTTTTTTTAATAGAAATTAAAGAATAAAATTATCATGTGAGGTTCCAATTTGTGCAACAAAGAAGACAGGCTGCAGTTCCACAGGATTGCTTCTTGGAGCCTGGACAAAAGAACCAGTGCATCTTCTCTGCTAGACGGTTTACTTAGAATTTGGATTTCACCTAGTTTGAGATGGTAACAACTTGGTAAAAGAAACCAATTTTTTTTTTGAAAAAAAATAAAAGGGATTGGTGTACTAGTCCTATAATAAAATATTGAGACAAAGCCCTAGATTCACGTCCCTACTGTCTAAATTTACACCCTTAAGGCAGCAATGACTCGTACCATTAGTATTAACTAGAAAAATGAAATTGAGAGTGGGAAGTTGTGTAGAGGCTTATTGCTGAAAATCGTTTCTGAAATTTATATAGATATAGATAAATTTTGTATTAAGTGTGAATTTAAAATGGAGGGACGTGAATTCATCTTTTATATCCGGGATTGAAATTGTGCATATTAGCCTCTCATCTTTCGCTGCATTCACCTTAGTGCCAATGTTTGGAGTTTTCTCGAAATACTACTAGTCTGCTTCAGAGTAACTGTAACCATATTTCTAGATTACAAAAGTGATATCTTATAATAAAAGTAAAAGAAAAATAATCAGAGGGCTTCTTTTACACAATTGCACATTGTAAAGCATTTTGTTTGAAATTAAAGAATACTTCTCGTAACATAACACAGTGCATAATATTGTTGAAAACCACGACCCAATGCAGCACTTGCAATTCTTCTTCTTCTTTTTTTTCCAAACTTATGAAAAAGAACGCAAAATATGAGGAATTCGGAGTCAAATATGACCTTATTAATCCCTCGTTGGTCCTACCTCGTTAACGAGGACTTCGGAGTCAAATAATATGAATTCTTATTCTATAAGAACAAATATAGACTAGTGCTCTGTGTGTGCAGTTAATAAAAAATATATTTATTAAAATTATCTCTTTATAATATTTGCTTATTGGTCAAATTCTTTTGTACTAATATAGATAATTGTTTAGAAAGATGATGAAAGCTGAGCAGCACATTACAGATTAGGTGGGAGGGAGTTGAAAGTTAGTGTGAAAAAGTGGATAATCTCAACAAATAATTACGGTTGATCCAAATAGCTCTCTACTTGTGGGGAGGTTCCCCCCCTAATAGATTGGGACAAATTTACCCTTATTATTAAGGGTAGATTAAAAATTTTAAAAAAATGACATTGTGTATTTACACGATATACTGATGCATTCACAATACACTGACGCTCTCGTTTTATGTATTGTATAGATATTAACACAAATTTTCAACACAAATTTTATTAATTGAAAAAATTTATTGTGTTTTTTCATGATTGTGTTAATATCTACATTTGTTTTGATAGTATATTACGGTAAGCAATGGCCAATATCCAAATCACACTCAAGTAACAGGACAAGAGTTTAAGTGTTTTACACCAACAAACCGTCACACAATACACTGAGTAGGCTTTACACATAAACCTTTCGCAACCCATCCCTCGATGGAACATATTCTCAGGATAGAGCTTTGCACGTACATCTTTCGTAATCCCAAAGTCCACTGCAATTGTTGTAGAAGGACAGGATCTATCCTGTGAATGGTGAATAGAGTTGCGACCTTGTCAAGTCTAGCAAGCGTCTTAACCCAATAAAAATCCAATGGACCGATCCTTGTTGCAACAAAATCATGTTTAAAATTGAGCAAACCAACTAGTGTACTAGAAAATACTGACGACTGAAAAATATTCCAGGCAGCCTTGCAAATACTGGAAATGTTAATGATGCCTGCATGGATACAAGACTTCCTGAGTGTCTAAGATGCATAACCTTGCTACACGAAGTCCACTAGTTAATAATCCTATTATTTACTGTATTTATTATAGGGCAGCTTTTAGTTGACGGGAAATCTTTTGCAACAGATGAATGCATATTCAAAAAGTACAAAATTATGTGGACATGCAGAGTCACTCTTGTACTTGCAATCGGAATCAAATCAAATGAATGAGCGCTGTCGACTAGGATAACTGTAAGAAAGGTCTGGTTCAATTGCGAAGAACCAAACTTTAAGTTGCAAGATGATCAAGGAACAAGGGAGATAACTAAAAATGGTGGAAGAAAAACTATTTCACTTATCTATCATGAAAGATCACTCTTCCGGAGGGTAAACAGAGAGCTTAAATCCGCGACTTTTGGTACCAGTGTTTGGTTGCTGTGATTGCGATTCTAGTTTCAACGCCTGAATCTTCTTAGCGGAGTAAACTGCCGAATCACTGGTGCAATATACTTCAACTGCTTGGAGGCTGGCTATTTGCGCAATCCCAGGTGGCATGGCCTCGAGCTTATTGCAGTGCAAAAGAACTAGGCATCTCAGTCTTGGAAAATCGCTCGCTGAAGCTTTCCAAGTTACTAAGTTAGTGCTGCCAATATTCAAAACTTGAAGGCGAAGAAAACCACCTTCCTGTTTGCCACCTAGCTCTTTCCCTCAAATGCGTTGTCCTTCAACTTGAGTACCTCAAGATTCTCCAACTTTCCCAGTATTGACATGTGTTTCCAATCAAGCATGGTATTTAACAAAGTCAACCTTGTTAGACTCCTTGGAAACTTGCATTCATGAGGAAGGAAATGTAGTTTAGAGTTGAAATCATCATTGATTAGTTTCAAATTTTCCAAGAACTCTAACTTGGAGAAACTGTCGAATAAACTGGATTCATTGCTGCCCTGCATAAATGATGCCAATCCCACATATACCCAATTTCTTGAGTTTAGGAACCCTCTCAAATACATCCTTTTTGCAACTCTCTGGTGAGATTGATGAAAGGGTTTGTAGATTTGCACTTATGGAGGGTTCACCCTTGTGGATTTTTGCAAGTGGCAAAGGTAAACATGCAGAAGTGTTGGTGATTAGATGCCTTAGTTGTGGCATCTTCCATATGTCTGCCTTGATCTCAAGGGTAGGCCATGATGTTTCAAATATAACAGTTCGCAAGATTTGAAGGTTAGACATTTTCTCTGGAAGGATCTTGCATCTAGAAGAGAGAGCAATATATCTCAAGAGAACCAAGTAGACTAGCTCACCAGGAAAACTAGTAAATATGATTGATCTAACATCTAACACTCTGAGTAATTTGAAGGCTCTAGGGATGCACGAGATATGTTCTGGAAGTAGCTTAGTCTCTTTCTTGGCAAAACTCAAAAAAGAGCGAATATGTATACCAGATAGGTTTTCAATACCATCCAAAAGATGGAAATTCATGCAAAGGCGGTAGGCATTATCCAAGGAAGTGTGTTCTGTTGAAAAGGTGGATTGATCATACCTTTCAACTTCCTGAAACAGATTTTCTTTCATCGCCTACCTTCTGCAGAAGTCCCGCAAACTGTCATGTATACGACAAGTTTTGATTCGACCACTGGATCCCCTCTGACCCACCATTACCAAATTCCTGCTCACCAGGTCGTCTAAGTAAGCCTCTGCTTTTTCTTCCAAGCTTATATCATGATCTTTCTGTACGAATCCTTCTGCAATCCACAATTGCAACAGCTTCTGAAAGAAATTCTGTGAGGGAAAAGTCCCCTTTCTATTGCTTCCGTGCCTTCCATATATACAGGTACCGAGACCAGAGTCCTATTACATCCCAATTGAAAAACAGAGTTCTATCACACCTCAATGACAGAGGTCTAACATACCTCAACTACTCCTAAAGATATTACCGAGGAAAACGGGTACAGAGAGTAACCAAAGGTACC